ACATACATACATACATACATACATACATACATACATACATACATACAGGCTCAAGCTGTGAGCGGTTCAAGGTGGCACTCCCCCATAAAAGACCACCTAGTGCGGCACCCCATTGCACCACGTGTGCATTGACTTCTCCTTCAAGCTCAACGCCACAGCGCTCGACTTCGGCAAGCGTCCTTTGCTAGCAATCTTGGACCTCACCTTCCACGCTCAAGAGGAGCTCTTTGGCACCCGGCAGGTCTCGACTTTGAATTCCTCTTTGGCTTCCAGGTCAAATCCGGCTTTCTGACCAACGACCTTCGGGACAACCTGTACTACAGCTTTGCCCGTGATCCCTACAAGATACTGAACGTTCCAGGCCTGATCGCGATCGGTGCCACAGTCATGCAGTGGGGACGAAACTACATGACCTGCAGGCACTCAGAGTGCCGAAACTGGATCTGGGAGGACAAACTACGCCCTGGCACCCGCTGCAGGAAATGCGGCACATGGTGGCAGAACCAGGCAGCCACGGGCAAAGGAAAAGGGCAGGGTCATGGACACCACAGAGCACCAAGCAAAGCTCAACCCTGGCCACGTAAGCAGCCTGCAACTCAGGTTTTAGACACTCCTCCAGGACTACCACGACTACGACCACTCAAACAAAGCAAAGAACATGCCTCAGCAGTCGAACTCATTGGAAGTACCTGGAGCGTCATACCAGAGGGCATTCAGACGAAGCTTGCAGCACTAGGCTTTGGTCCACCACCTCCAGCAGAACCTGAGCTCACAGAGCTACTCAAGAGCCACATAACTGCTCTTCCTCAGGAGGTGCAAGCTGTAGTCACGAAACTGACTCAGCCCATGCCAGACACCGAAAAAGAGCTGGCAAACAAGTTGAAGGCGCAAGTTGGGGAATTGAAAACAGTGTCCATCAAGAAAAACCAACTCCAAACGCGATTGGACCAGATCAAGTCACAGTACGCTGGCATGCTTCAAGATATGCAGGACTTGCAGACGAGGTTGACGGAAGGGCAAACCAAACTCAAGCAGTTGTCTGACCAGTATATGAAGGTCAGCCAAACTCCCATGCCTGAAAGCCTTGAAGTTGAGGACAGCAAGGATTTACCCATCCCCATGGCTGTTGAAACCTTTGTCACAAGTCTTGGGATCGACCTGACGGAGGACCAGAGGTCACAACTCCATGGACTCCTCAAGAGACCACAGACAGAAGACGAGGACATCAACAAGCGCCGCAAGACTGAATCCACACCCACCCTGCCAGGGCTACAGTGTGGGTAACAGTCCCAACACCGGTCAACACCTCCCAGCGTTTCAGGTGCCAATTCCCTGGGAGGACTTTGAGGCATCACACCACTCACCGGTTTGCCGTGCTGCATCCGGCTCAATCCAGCAAGGGATTTCCTTCCAAGGTGCAGGGGACAAGTCACCTTTCAACAGGAAGGAAAAACTTTTTCAAGAAGAGGGACAGTCAACACTTGGTGCAGGGAAAACCACCAACATGTTGCACACACAGGCATCACGCATGCAGATGCAAAGTTTTGACACTACCATAGCACCGGCAACACCTGCGGATGGACTCTCCAGCGGGGCACCTGGAGACCACATCATAACCATCAGAGGTGGGGCCATCAATCTGCACAGCCAGATCGCCAAAGGCAGGAGACAACCCAGGATGCAAAATACCTACGCATCCACTACGGAATGCATTCTCCAAAACCTGTCAATGGCTATAGGGAATCCCAGCTCTCGGTGTTTTGCAAACGCACCCTGGAGAGCTTTCACCTGGACGTGCGGGCTTCTTCAAGAGACTCATACAGAGCCGTGGGGAACCTTGCATGCTGCAGTTCAAGAATCACTCGAACTGGCAGAGGCCGTGGACATCCAGCAGCTGCCTGGATTGCAAAGGCTGTGGAAGAAGCATGATCTTAATGTCCAGGGTGACGCAAATCACTTCGTGAACACCCTATGGAACCTGTCCCAGAGCAGAGCATTCCACTACCGCTATGCAGAGATCAAAGCTGGAGGCTACCTCGCGGATCATGTACAAGTTCCACTGCTGGTTGACTTTCCTCAAGATTGGCCTGAAAACACCACGGTCCAATCCCTGATGAACGGATGGGCAAATGAAGGCCTCGGTCAATACCTGCTAGATGACAAAGCAATCCTGGTCACACACATCACCCGCAACACCACAGTTGACGGAGTGGCTACAAAGCACAAGAAGGTCCTGAATCCATATGGAACCTTCACGGTACCCGGATCCATGGATGGGTTTGCCAGAGCCTCCACTGAGTTTGTCCCGGCAGCACTGATTTGCCATAGAGGAGCAAGGCCATTACTTTGCAATTCTCATCTACCGCGACCTCCTCTGGTTGGCAGACGACGGCAGGGTCCCAACACACCTACCCCACTTGACACCTCAACTTGCCAGTCAAGTGGTCCAGATCTGGGCGGTGCACATCGACACATTCAGCACCACACAACAGATCATTCAACGACTACCATTATGAGAAACCCATAGCCGCAGACTGAGGTCATCAAAAAAGATATTTTTATCCTGAAATCATCATATTTTTATCCTCGTCACCAACCTAAAATCATCCTACCTTCAGGCCCTGGTATCCTAAAATCATCCTACAATCATCCTAGATCCTCTCCTGAATCATCATCAAATCATCCTGGATCATATTCTGCATCATCCTAAAATCATCCTGCAGCCTCTCCTAAATCATCCTCAGATCATCCTCGGGCATATCCCGCATCATCCTAAAATCATCCTAGAGCCTCTTCAGAATCATCCTCAAATCATCCTCGGTCATAGTTTGCATCATCCTAAGATCATCCTAGAGCCTCTCCGGAATCATCCTCAAATCATCCTCGGTCATACTTTGCATCATCCTACAATCATCCTAGAGCCTCTCCTGAATCATCCTGAAATCATCCTCGGTCATACTTTGCATCATCCTAAAATTATCCTAGAGCCTCTCCTGAATCATCCTCAGATCATCCTCAAATCATCCTAGGCCATATTCAGCATCATCCTAAAATCATCATAGAACTGATATCAACTGATTCTTGGCTATCCTGAAATCATCATCACATCATCCTAAAACCACACTAGGGCTACCCGCTGCCTGCTAACTGCTCTCTCTATCTCCATCCATCCATGAATCCCTCTCTCTCGCTCAATCTATCTATCTGAATATCTTTCTGTGTGGGTGTATGATTTTCGATCGCCACTCATCCTGTGGATGCAAGCGGGATTGTTGTTTCAAACGGCTGACTGACTAAAATGGTTACGACTACGATTATGTTTTGGCTTGTTCAAGAGTATCTCAGAGTCTCAGAGTCATTGGGTCATAGGGATGTGTTCTTTGTTGTGATATGTCTTGCGACTTGGCGACACCGCGAGCGGCGAGCGACATTCAGTTGTGCTGCTTGACATGAAAGCACTTCAGTCACCGTTGCTCAGATTCAGAAAGCTACTGCGCAGCAGGGTGGCACTATATATAATAGATAGATAGTGGAACATCGGGACATAGTAGAACCATCGTGACATAGTAGATAGATTGTAGAGCATTAATTATTGGTATATTGTTATCATAATCCTCCATTTGTCTTACAAACAATTGTGTTTCAAATTCTGATACTGTAGCTGATAGCAGCGGCTTTGCATGTGATGGCTTCTGATTCAGAATGGGATGCCATCTTCATGGAGGACCAGGTCCTTTCTCAGGAAGAGGCTGACGCCATTGAGTCAGCCTGCTGTGCAAGATCAGATTCTGGATCTGAACATAGTTCAGAACCAGGGAAACTTACAGTTCCCTTGATATCATTGCAGAAGTTTTTTTGGTGGCAGTCAAAGTACAGTAACTGGCACTAGAATCACTATCAGTATCACTAGAAGTCACTAGAATCACTAGAATGTAAGGTCCAACTTTGTTCAAAAAAATTACGGTGCTCAGGTTTGGTGGGCTCGACGACTGTTCACTGCTGTGTGTGGGCTTGGGTATGAATGGCCTCAGCCGCAACACCAACCAGTTCAAGTTTTGAGTGCATGCGCAGGATGTTCTGCTGAATCAGCTGTCCTGAAGGCTGTAGGGTCTCCAAAACTGTTGGGTGGGAAAGGTTCAAGCTTCAATTTCAAACTGCTCTCAACATGTTGCTTGTTGAGTGTTGTTTGTTGACATTTAATTCGCTAGACTCTGCTCTACTTCAAAAAGTGTACAGGACTCTCAGACTCTGGGCTCACCCTTTTACCCATAGAGGCCCTTGGAGTCGACTTTACTATAGTATCCTCATCAGAAATGGTGGATGCATACAGGGACTTTGTGGAAGAGAATCACCCAGGGCGCGTGCTTCACTACTTTGATTCACTCGAGGCCCAGGTAGATGGAATTGGCCAGTGCAAGACTTGCCAACGCTCACACCTGAGACAAGTTCTTGGGGAACCCTGCGACCCAATGAGTGATTTGCGCTCTGGCTCCTCTATACAGATTATGACATCGGGAACGCCATGCCCACCATTCTCAACGCAACGAAGCAAGAGATTCGTTGATGGGTCTGTGAAAGACCATCATGCATTCGACTTGACTATGGAAAAGCTCATTGAGCTATATGCCATCTATGAGCCTGAAAAGGCATTGCTGGAACAGGTTTGGGGCTTCACCCTTCCATTTCAAGCTGGTGGAGGAGAGACGCCCAAGCAAAGGCCAGGATGAAATGAGGTGGTTTTATCGTTTGACCTAGGACCTGGCACACAGGAAAACAGGCCAGTCTAGCGGTCTAGCGGCTAGTGC